CGCTTTGTCTGCTGCCTCGTTTCCCTGCAGACCAGCATGACTTGGCACCCACTGCAAGTGAACTGCTCCTGTTGGCAACTGAAGAAGGTGTGCTTGAATGGCAGCCACGAGGTGAGTGTAGCTGCTGGGAAATGCTTGCTGGAGAAGCTGCAGAGATGAACGGCTATCCGTGCAAATAACAGCAGGCAGTGTACGGTTGGCGGATAAGTATTTCAAGGCTTGGAGGATGCCATAAAGTTCGGCTGCAACGATTGTGTGGCAGGGGTCAAGGCGCCATCCTCTGATATGAGACAAGGATGGGATTACCATTCCCGAGCCTACAGATTGTGTGGGTCCAGTTGATACGGAGCCGTCGGTGAAGATGAGGCAAAACCCCGGGAATCGAGTGGCGCAGATGTCGCTGAAGATAGCTGTTGCTGCTCCATCCACCTCTTGATAGGACCGATTTGAGAAGTCTAGATGTATCACTGGAGTAAGGGCACTCCATGGTGGGAGGTCTGTGATGAGTGGAGAAGGCAAGGAGGCCGGAAGGGCTATATGGAGTCTGGTGAAGATATCCAGAGCTCGTGATAGAAGCGGTAATTTGTGGAGACGGGTGCGAAATGGTGCTATGCGGAGGTATCGGTCCCGGTGGTAGAGGGTGTGCACCGGGTGTCGGCTCAGAAGCTGCAGGTAAAACAAGGCTATGCTGCGACTTCGGTGAATTTCTGGTGGAAGCAACCCTGCTTCGCAATATAGCGAGGGCAGTGGGGTAGATCTCCATGAACCAACGATCAGGCGTGCTGCAGTTGAGTGGATTACATCCAGTCTTGATAGAAGAGTTGGCGATGCTGATGAGTAGATAGAGAGTCCGTAGTCTGTGTACCCTCTGATGTAGGTCTGGTAAAAGCGCAAGAGAGTCATTCGTGAGCCACCAAAGTTGGTCCCGCTCAGGACCTTCAGTATATTCAGACGTTTCTGGCAGCGGGTCAGAAGGCTGTTTATATGCTCCTTCCAAGTCAGAGTAGGAGCATCCAGGGTAAGCCCCAGAAGACGATGGTGACGGGTCATTCGGATGGGTATGTCTGCAATGTGTAGGAGCGGGAGAGGTTGGACATTTCGTTTTCGTGTAAATATTTGGAAAGCTGATTTGGCAGGATTTAGTGTCAGCGACCAGCTGTTCACCCAGGCTACAAATACGTCTATGGCCTGCTGCAGCCTAAGTCCCGCCTCGGTTACAGTGTCAGCCACCACGTACATTGTGATGTCATCCGCGTATACTGCAGTGTTTACGCCCGGGAAAGAGGGGATGTCACTGAGAAGCACATTGAAAAGAAGTGGAGATAGGATGGATCCCTGCGGTACTCCAGATGTAGTGTAATGCAGTGAGGATAGGCATCCGGCGACTGCTACCCGAAAGGAACGTCCTGTCAGGAATGCCCGTATCCATCGCAACATGCGGCCCCTAACTTCATTCTGTGCTAGCTTGTAGAGGATGCCTTCGTGTGATGCTCCGTCAAATGCGCCCTTAACCCATTAATGACGAGAATTATTTACTGAATTTTTTGGGGGTTCCTTGTTAGAATATTATCATTTGTGATGGTAATAAACAAAAAATATGTTCATATATTTATTTTTCGTTGTATGTGAAAAAATATAGCTTGGTTCCATATGGAACCGCTCGGCATTAACGTAACGTTTCTTCAAACAACACTTTTTCTGATAGTAAATCAAGCAAGGTTATTCATAATGGATAATACGTAATATACGTATTCATAATGGACAATACTGATGATGAACCAATCATGGCAGAATACAATTTAATTTTTTGCATAGAATGCTTCCATTCATTCAAAATGAATAGGAAGGTTGCCCATTTTACGAATGTTTGTGGGTGCGTTGTCAACGTTGTTTACGAAGCACTGCATTTGCAGTGCATCTGATGTCTCTTTGCTGGCCAATATTGTTGATTGTTGTATTGCACTTCATCAAGGATCGAAGTAGAAGGGTGCACTATAGACCCTGATTGTTTTATTTAGGGTCTCCTGCATTATTGCATTTCCTAACTGATATTTTTGAAAATTTATTGCAATAGCCATTCTTTTTTTCAAAAGTTTTTTGAGAAGCCAAATGAAACCAGAATAGATATCACATATAATATGTTGGCTTGGGACCAATAGTATCATGTTTGTATCACTGGTCCCACTGGTCCCTTGTGTATCAGCTGCATATTCCTTTGCAGCCATCTCCCGGGAGAGAACTCTAGATGCAACACGAGAGGAGATTGCCATGGCCTTTTGGTAAAAAGGACAACGAGGAGAGGATGCTGGATGCGGGCCCTTACATGAAGCGCAGCATGGGTTGTCGGCATTGCAGTTCTGCACGACATGGTCAGGGGAGGAGCAACGGGCGCAAACTGCTAGTCTTCGACAGGAGATGGAACCGTGGCCAAATCTTTGGCAACCGTAGCAGCGGGGCGGGAGAAGCAAGGTAGGAGTGTACTTTAAGTGAGACATTATGGAAGAATACCTTGTCTGGTACTGCCGAGGAGCATTCTATTGCTATGCGCATCGCTTGAAAACTGCTGTTGTTTGGATCTGCAACTACATGGCTTGGGAATAGCTTTTTAACCGAGAGGATTTTATTTGCATTTTGATTAGCTGGGAGGGAAAGCTCGGCTAGGAGATCATCTGCGGTGTAGCTCAGAAGGTATTTGTCCTCTATATCTGTGAAGTCGAATATTAGGTACTTCCCCTTGGAACATGGGTGGCTCTTTAAGGATACGAATTTTGTATTTAATTCCGTTGTGTTCATAACAGTGATCTGAGTTGGTAAACTCTTTTACTTTGTTGGCCAATACTTCCCCTGTGATTAGGGTGCCCTTCAAATTTCGGCTACGGCTGTCGGGTTTGATGAACTGTAGTGCTGGCAAGCTTTTGGAGATTTGGGCGTAGAAGTTGAACGGTAGGGCCTTTTTATCTTCTCGTAGCAGAAGAAAAGTGGTAGAGGAGTGACTGGCCGGCAGTGTTTCATGCTGGGTGGGGTTGTTTGAGCTTGAGGTAGGTTCTGAAGAAGTTACCGAAAGAACAAGTTTGGTATAACCGTGAAGTCTGGGCTTCTTGATCTTGGCAGGTCTTCCTATCACTGGTGAGTCGGAAGGGGAGCCGGCAAAATCAGAGATGTCCATCACTGCTTCGGCGAAGATGTCTTCTGTCAGGCCAGGGCCTGACGATGATTCAGCCATACTTTTCACCTTTGAGTGTTCTTCACAGTTCACGCTAATTCGGTAATCCCTAGTAAATATAGAATTTGCACTGTGTTTCAGATTTGACTACAGCACCGTGAACTTTGGATGTTGAGCGTAAGCACCATACGTCTTGCCAGTTGCCACCATGAACATACAAACCTTCTCCGATAAAATTCTCCTTTTACAGCACAAAATTATCCGGGACGTTAACTGTCTTTCTACTTGATCTAACTAGTCATCAATAAAAAAAAATGGAACAAAATTTATTTTACAATATTTTGTATTGTGTATTTTCAAAATTTGTGTATTGTATTACCTGGACCTGGAAATTTATTCCGAGTTGGAGACTAGCGAAGCATTTCTAAACTTGAGAGGTTAGACCGAAAATTCAAACAGGATTTGTCAATTGGTATTCATAAATTTAATTTAAATACTGCTATGAAATTGGAGCAGTGAGTTGCATGTTCGAGACAATCAACGAGCTGTGAAAATTTTGCGTTGTTCAAAATAGGCGACAAGCCAAATCAACGACCTGTTGGGATTAAGAGCAGGCGCTTGAGAACCTATTAAATTTTTTTGCATTTCAAACTTGTTAATTTCGAGCTTCCGTAGCTGGAATGTTGTTCAAACCGATTAAAAATAAAGTGAATAAAGTCGCTAGTCTTGCCATCACAGCACAACCTAAAAAATGATGTGGTTGGGTACCTATTAAGTGTAAAGCATTGTAATTAATCAAGTGTAAAACATCGTAATTAAATAATTAAGTGTAAAGCATCATACCGGGCTAATGATCATTTATCATTGTCGGGCTCTGAAGGGACTATCATCAAATATTTATATAAATGGACGTTGTAAAGACCATGATTAAAGAATTCCCTTTGGCTATATTCATTACTGATGATATTCTTCATTATTCAACATCCTTCAACTTAGAAATATTAATTAATTTAGCTAAAAGAACTAGAGTGGACGAAGGGAAATGAAAGACAAATGCACTGGAATAAGATTATTGATAACAATAAGATGTGTAATATATTACGAACAATGGTAGCTATAAAATACAACGCACGACGGTATACTTATGAGAAAAATTCAGTAATTGGAGATGATGTTCTTTTGTGATACGATGAATTTTTCAATTGTTTTCTGGATAATTAAAAGTTAACTAATAGAATAGTTTTCTAGTAACGAAAAAGTTTACTAATAGACTAGGTAACTAGTAACGAAAGAGTTTACTAGAACGCTCGAAGGTGACGTTATACTAGCACACCTAACGTCGCTATACAAGCAACTATACATCGCTATACAAGCAACTATACATCAAATTAATATTTGTGCACTTCGAGTATTGTTTGTTGTATAAATAAAAAATACAATTCCTATAATAGTATTAAGCTCTTAATTTTTAATCAAGCCTGTTTTTCAAATTTTACTAAATTAAATTTAAGTACGCAATTTGACAGTTAGAAATCTTGTGCGCATTAGAAACGAAAGAAAAAATTCTTCAATGATATTCTAATTTTTTTATTATGAATATAAGAAATAAATATTCTGGAATTCGATGAATCGCAAAATATTTCGAAATCTGTCCAGTGAAATGGAAATTGGAAAACGACAGCAGCTATCGAATCACCATAATTTTGTGGATAAATAGAATTAAAAACACTAAATAAACTTAAAAATGCATTATTGAAGTATTGAAAATCAATTCATACAAAATTTTGCAATTACTGCATCTCCATTGAAGATTTTAATTAAAAAAAAAAATTGTGATCAACAATACAAATAATAATGCTGATATCAACGTGTCATCAGTGCGGCAGCATTTTTAAGCCTTTAACAAATTATTAAATTACAATAAGCGTCAATAAATGAAACGAGTGTTTAAACCTGAATATATCAACTTAACTACTCATTTAAATATCAATTCTAAATAAAGGTCTGAATAAAATTTTGATGTGCAGGTGACGTCAAGCGTGTGTGAATTAAACTATTCGCTCTCACTACACAGATAATTAACCCAGGTATACAGCTATATGCTATAACAATATACACTTATTAAGAACTGAGTACACCGAAGACAACTATATATACTAAAAAAATTAACATATACTGTCAAGGAACCCGCGGTCGTAAGTTCATTGACTTAACACACTGAAAGCTGTTTCCGGTTGCCCTTATTGAAGAAAAATGAAGATATTACAAAATTTAGAACGGATCCAAAGCCGATTTTACGAACAAATTCTTTCATATTTGTCATAAAGGTTCACATTTTTAATGCCCACAGATAATTGATACCTAAGTTCCACAGTGGTAATTTTTGACGAGATAATTTAAAGACTTTAACACGTTCATCAACAACATGAAAAGTTCAACTTTAGGCCAAACTTGTCACAAGTTTCAGCCAGAAGTTCAAGTTCCTTCCAGTCAAATCTTACTTCAACTTCTTAATTTTTAGCCAAATCTCAACTTTCCTCCAAAATTCACATCAACTTTAGCAATACTTCACCTTACTTTCTGAACTCTAAGCTAGACGTTAGCACAACTTCATTCTACAGTCAAAATTTCTAACTATAAACTAGCTGAGAATATTCTAGCTACACGAACTATATATTATATGCATCAACCACTATATATTGACTAGATAAAATGACTAGTGGGTTCTCTAGCTAGTCACGATGTGCATCACACTAAATGTGCCTCTAATTAAATGATTAACATCAACATTACTAATGAGATCGCAATGGCCAGCGTAAAGATAAACATTATTTAATGAGATCGCAGTGCAGTTAACACTGAAAAAACTTCTTTTCCTATATTAATTAACCGATAAATTCTCATTAAATAAATTCCAGTAAAGCCAACAAACCATCTAGAAAAATTCAAATGGGGATCTTTTATGAATAGAATTTTGTGCGCATAAACTTGGATAATATGGCTAAAGTTTAATATGAAGCCTAAGCATAGGCCTGAAAAATCGAAGAAAAACTTACAAACAATAGACGATCACAATTAAGGGCTTTTCGTTGTTCTATTTTCATGCGGAAAAACTAATTAATATTAGTAATAAATTGCGTTCGCTAGTGAAAGAGAGCGTTCATGATGCTAGTGAACGAAAGCGTTAATGATGTAAATTAGTGCTAAATAAATTAGCAAAAGCAAATTTGCACTGCCGCTAGATTAATGTTCAAGTAAGTTGGACTGATAGTATATTGATTAAATGCCTGTAATACAGTTCACTATAAATATAAATTTATATTTAAATTGAATAATGAATTTGAAATAAAATGGAATACAATTCATGATAAATTTAACACTATAAGTTATAGAGGATAGGTAACCTAGTAGAGGATAGGGCGGGCGCCGGTGTCCTAATAGAGGATAGGGCGGGCGCCGGTGTCCTAATAGAGGATAGGGCGGGCGCTGATGTCCTGATAGTATATTGATTAAATGCCTGTAATACAGTTCACTATAAATATAAATTTATATTTAAATTGAATAATGAATTTGAAATAAAATGGAATACAATTCATGATAAATTTAACACTATAAGTTATAGAGGATAGGTAACCTAGTAGAGGATAGGGCGGGCGCCGGTGTCCTAATAGAGGATAGGGCGGGCGCCGGTGTCCTAATAGAGGATAGGGCGGGCGCCGGTGTCCTAGTAGAGGATAGGGCGGGCGCTGGTGTCCTAGTAGAGGATAGGGCGGGCGCTGGTGTCCTAGTAGAGGATAGGGCGGGCGCCAAAGGCCGCGTTGGCACCCGCGTTGGGGCGTCCAGCAGCAGCGGGGCGCCCCGTCACGACGAGCTCCAGTTCCGCGCCGGACGTCAGGCGCGACACACACGCGTCGCTCCGCAGCCTCGTGTTCGGCAGCTTCCTGCACGGCATCGAGGATGTTATTGGGATGTTGTTGTGATGATGTTGTTGTTATTATGATGATGTTATTATTATGAAGTTGTTAATATAATTATATTATTGTTCTCATGATGATGATGTTGTTGTTTTTAGGGTCTTATGATGTTGTTATTATGAGGATGTTGTTGTGATGATGTTATTATGATGTTGATATGATGTTGTTGTTATGATGATGTTATGATGCTGTTGTTACTATTATGATGATCTTGTTATTATCTTGTTGTGATGATGTTGCTGTTAAGATGTTGTTATTGTGTTAATATGAAGTTGATTTTATATTTTATGAATATGTTATTACACGTGGTTAAGTAGAGGTGGGTTGAGGAAGAGGTGGGTTGACATGACCCACCTAACACGCTGTACGTGGTGGGGGTTGAGGTAGAGGTGGGTTGACATGACTACACAGTTTTCGAATTTAGTAAACATTATTATTAAATTTATTACTGTTATGATAAGAATTATGAATGAATTATATTAGTATTCTAAAAATAACTATCGTAGTACCCATTATTATTATTAATTACATATAATTATTCTACAAAATAACTATCATAGTACTTATTATTATTGGTAATCATATTATTATCATTATTGTTATTATTAATTATATTATTATTCTACAAAATAATTATCGTGGTACCCATTATTATTAAATTTATTACTGTGATGATTATAATCTCTGCAATCAGTAATATTATTAATTAAATTATAATTAAATATTATAATCCTAAAGGAGTTGAAATGAATCCTAAAGGAATTTAAATTAATCCTAAAGCACTTGAAATTAATCCTAAAGGACTTGAAATTAATCATAAAGGACTTGAAATGAATCCTAAACGTTCCCTGAATTATTAATTAATTAACATTAAATTCTAATTCTCACCCTGATGCTGCTCGGGCGGGACAGGATCCGTAGCAACAGCTCGGTCAATTTTTAATGTAGGTGCAGGAGCTTCAACACTGTCAACATTAATATCAACATCATTCTTGACGCTTGTTTTCACTTCATGATGATTATTATTCCTGCAACAGCAGCAACAACAACAACATTTCCTGTGGTGCCATAGTTCACTCGAGTCTGTGGCTATGTTTTTATTATTAAAAATTATTGGTTCATTTTGGTTGTTGGAATTATTTTGTGTACTGCGTTCATTTCTTTTTTCTTCGTGGTTTTCTTTGTTGTCCAGTTTTTCTAATTTTTCACTGTCCAGCGTTACTGGTTTGTCTTCCAAGTTTTGATCTTTTGAAGCTTGGTTTCCAATGTTATCGGTCTTAGAAATCCCCTTGATTTTAATTTCTTCGTGATTCTCATTGTATGCAGTATCGTGTAATTGTGATTTCTTTTCAAGAAAAGAACCGCAATATATTGGGACTTTGTTAACGTTCTCGAAGAGTGAATTAGGATGAGAATAACCATCCGTACCACCAACATTTTCATGGCGTAGTTCTTCCATGTCTTCGGGTCCAGAAACATCCAGAGTTCTAGGAGATGCAGACTTAGGGCTCTTAATATCCAATTTTTCTTCTATAAGTTCATGAAGATCCATTGTTTTATCAACAGAACTGAGAATCTGCATGTTATCCTCCATCATCGAATCAAACGCCTGCCCTCCCAAACTAATTGTGGACACGGAAGGATTGTCTGCGAGATTATTTAGAGATTGGTTGCTGCTAAAGCGGATAAGATTGGTGGTAGTTACATCGCAATCCTCTTGGGATTTCATGATTGATTCTTCAAAATTGATTGCAGTTTCATCGTTCTTTTCAATAAGTTTGTCACACAATGACTTCTTATGCAAGAGAATTTCCATTTTGCCATCTGTAACAGAAGCTTCAGCTTCCATATTTGAATTACGATCGGATGGATCGAGTGGATCACAATCAGATGCAAGCTCTTCCTTGGTTCCATCACGTGAATTTTCATGAATATTGGAGGAAAATAAATCAATATTCACATCTTGCGTCTCCTCTGGATCTTTCCCAGAGGGGAAAACCAGACTCGAAGAACAAAAAATATCAGAAAAAGCTGACGACTCAACATTATTCATATGAACTTCGACATGATCATGATTTTGGTCATCACTCTTCTGGTGCCCATGATTGATATCGATGATTTCATCTTCCTGTTTGAAATGTGGAATCTCATGAGCTGATGTTCCATGTTGGCGAATTCCGGTATCAGTTTCATCAAGTTGAAAAATGTTGGAGTCAGTTGATGGCAACTGGGAAATATCAGACTCGGGAAATTCTACTTGGTCCATTCCCGAGTTAACATATTCAGGCTGGAAACTTTCAGGCGAAGGTGTGAATGACGCTTGTTCGCCTTGAACAAATTGACCGTACAAATCATCTTCATTGTTTAAGATCCCTGCACTAAACTCTATTCCTCCGAGGTCCTCAGAAATCTCAAAGTTATTGTTTTCAACTGGGATGTCATTGTGGTTAGGACTTTTTTCTGCAAGTCCTAGGGACGAAAAATCTTGTTTTTCCGCAGTAAAATTGGCGTCAAAATCAACCTTCCAGTCGTTGGACTGAACTATATTCTTGTTAAAAACAGATTCGTATTCAGGTTGACTGGGAGAAATTTGTTCCTTTTCTTCAATAAAAGAATAAGCTTTCGGATCATCAAGCTGCTTGAGATTCAAATTAATCTGGCGATCCTGCCAATTACAAGGATGATGTAGAGGGGAATGGATCCCATTTGAGTGGTGATTTCCAATATCCAAAGCCTCAGCCCCTAAGTCCATCTCTGAAGGAGACTTGGGGAGCGGAGGGGGAGTACATCGAGCAGACCCACTAACTTCCCCTAAACCAGTGGGGATATTCCCGCGAACAAACGGTAGATGGGGAGGAGGAGATGGGGAAGAAGGTGGTGACGCAAGAAAAGGGGGTGGCGATGCCCTGAAAGATGGGGGAAATGGGGGAGGAGAATGAATAGAGCCAGACGCCTGACGTGGATCACAGAATTTCTTGTCTTCGCCATTGGAGAAATGGGATAAAATTTCAGAGCCCCTGCTACTGCGGCTTGCATTGCATGCACCACTTACATCTTTATGGTTAACAATGCCTTGGTTCATCACACTGTGCTTAGTCTTGCTATTAATACCATGGTTTCCGGTAATACTTTGTTGGCTTTGGTTTCCAGTGCTGTGATGGCTTTGGTTTCCAGTGCTGTGTTGGCTTTGGTTTCCACTGCTGTGGTGGCTTTGGTTTCCAGTGCTGTGGTGGCTTTGGTTTCCAGTGCTGTGCTGACTATGGTTTCCAGTGCTGTGGTTGCTGGTGATGGATGACTGTGTGCTGAGAGAGCGACTGCTGGTCCCAGTTCTGGTGCTGCCTCCACCATATATGGAGTCGCTGCTGCTGGTCCCTTCATTCTCACAGCCGTCATTAATATCTCTAATGTTTCTATTAACATGGTCAGTGGATGAGGTGTTGTTGACATAACCATTAGTAATTGGTGAATTTGCAGCAGAATTAACATTGTAGTGGTGAGATGGTGAATTTGTTGGAGAAGATGGCGTGAGAGCTGAGGCACAAAAGCCTGAAAAATACTTGAGTCAAAATTTGATTGGAATACAAGTTGGATATTGTTCATAAATTCGGGGTAAGAGTCCAATAAATGATAAATTTTAATCTATAAGTGATACCTGAACATAATACAGTTTTTGATAAGCAAATCAGGTTGTAATTCAATGGCATAGGTTTTGCCAGGAGGGTTTCCAGTGATTTGGTCAAGTTTAGTCACTTATTATTGGGACCAAAAATATAGTACCTGAATGTAATTAAATAAAGGTAATTGTAACCTAAAGTAGCAAGTTCAGCAAATGAATTGGATCAAATAAATTTTTCTCAACATATTACAGCCAGCAAGCTAGACTGGGAGAATGACTACAGACCTTTGGAGATGAAAATATTTGATAGATAGTTAAGCAAGGCAATGGAGATGTTACTGAGCCTTTTTTGTCTTCCAGAGTTCAGTCCTGATACCTAACATAGAATTTTGTAATCCAGCTAGACACATAAAATGTACTTAATCCCTTGAATCTTATAGAGGATTTAAAAATGCAGTAAAATCTATCAATCTTTATCCTTAAATCTTACCAAGGAATTTAGAACCTAGCAAAAATTTTTGTCTCTAAATCTCACCTTAGAATTAAGAACCCAGTAAAACACATAAAATTTTGTTAGTGAATCGCACTTTGGATTTCATATCCCAGTTAAACATAGTAAGTTTAGTCCTTAAATTGCATTTACAATTTAAAATGCAGCGAAACATACCATGTTTGGTTTTTAAATTGCATCTAAGATTTTAAAATGAAGCTAAACATAGTAAATTATGTCCTTAAATTGCATTTCAAGATTTTAAAATGATGCTAAACATACCAAGTTAGCTCCTTAAATTGCATCTAGGATTTAAAATGCAGAAAACGTAGTAAATTTGGACCTTAAATGTCATCCAAGATTTTAAAATGCAGCAAAACATACCAAGTTTGGTCCTGATATGCGGCAAGGTGGTGAGCTGAGCTGGAGTTTGGTTGCGGTGGTTGGCTAAGCTCGGGTCAGCTCCTGAGCGCAACAGGAACTCTACTGCACTGCTGTGCCCTCGTTGGCAAGCCCAATGAAGTGCAGTCCTGAAAAAGAATGAAAATTATATACATGATACATTAGACAATTATTGATAAGGAAAATTTTGAGAAGTGCACAAAATGTGCACACTAGTCATTAGAACTAGCAGAAAAGAGATGGATCTGAAGGGAAGGTACAGTATATTTACTTATTTAAAAAAAAATTTAGTATAATTGTAGCTAGTAGTATTTATATACTTTAGTTCCAAACTATGATGACAATTTCAGATAAAATTTGAGATCAATGACTTGTATCATTAAAAATGGGAAGCTTCATTTTTCTCAACAAGAATGATTATAGGTGCCACACGCTGTATATAAACAAATTATGTTGAACTTGAATGCCCACTAAGCATAAGCTTAAAAAGAAATTTAATATTATTTAATACTCCTATCTGCACAAAGCAACGCACCAGCCGTTCACGGCGTTTGCGCTGTTGACATCAACTCCCTTACGAACAAGTTCAGCCAGGGTATAAACATCACCATAACACGCAGCCTCACGCAGCTTCTCTTCATCCAAGTTCAAAAGTTCTCCTAGGGTGGAGTCTGACATTGGGCCTGGTGTTTATAAATCTGCAAAAAATAAGAAACTTGTTTATTGAAGAAGGTATATAATAAAGGTTATTATGAATCACACATTACTCTATCCATTTTATGTTCTCAAGAGTAAATAAGTCTACAGTATACCTGGAATTTCAAGACTATTCAGCAGCATTAGGTTTCAAAATTTGATTAAAATAAAAAAGGACTTACTTTCAAGTGAAAGTTGTTGAAAACATGAATAAACCTGCATAAAATAGCAAATTTAAAAAGATCTATAATTTGTTTTGTTAATTTAAACATCAAAAACACTAAAAATTTAGATCTGAAAATTAAAATAAAAATTGTAGAAAAAATATATAATTTTACAGGAAATTCCCATGAATTGTAGATAAAAATTAGCCAATTTCATTTTTTATGAAAAAATTGAACATGGGCTATAAAAATGGGTGATTCATTTGATTTGACTGCAAGCATGGGTGTTTTTGTCCCATTTGTGAGTCACTTCTTCCTGATTTCCTAAAATTCATTATATAGCTAAGCCACTAACGAATTAGCCAAAAATACTAATGCTCATAGAAAATTTTACCTACCTATTCATGGAATCTTTAAAAATTTCTACTTATTAATAAAATTTCACCTCTCTAAAGCAACATATTTTCAATGATTTTGGAATCTTATGGCCTGATCATGCAATTTTGTTATCCTAAATTTAGTTAAGTAGGTCTTAAATAAGAAGAGTCTATAAGAAGTCCCTGCTTTGAATAAATCATGAATGCGGGCTTTTGCAATTCAATCAATTGTATACTGTAATCTTCTGCATATTGAATTTAAATTGCACCAGACTATTGCATCAATCAGTCTCAATTATTCAACTGCAGTCATCAGGCTAAGTCGCGAAGTGGATCACCGACAAACACCGTCCTAAGCTAATAATTTAATAAATAACTGCACCCCGATGCATGATATTCATTCATGAGATTAAGATCGATCATTATACATGATTACTTACATATGATCAAAAAAATTACAGCTGCAAACTTCTGCCGCTTAAATAATAGGGTTTCAAATCGAATCAAACGACAAATGTAACTTATGGGACAACGGACAATTACACGCAGCGAATGCTCATCGACTAGCGTGGTGAACAATTAATCCATTGAATGCTACGGCAGAGATCCATTCCGCAAAATCAATGGTCAGTGGCTTCTCGTTAATGAATATGTGTATGCATCATGGTTGATATATGATATATCAACCATGTGTATGTATATCATGCTTGAAATAGTATGTAGTTCAACCATGTACATATCTGTCTGAACGTGTAAAAATTTATTGTGCACAGCAAATAGATATAGCAGATCAAATATTTATTCATTGTGAATAGCAGCTCTAAGTATAATTTCAACTCGTAATGCTTGCTAACAGTAATTGTTTAAACTAAACTAATTATCCATTTGTCATAATTTACGTTACAATTACCGCCTCTTTACAGCCGCTGCGTTTCGTGTCAAAAATGTTTTCACTCTGAGCGCATGTCATGTCAGGTGGCAATTTGTTTCTGTCATTCGACCTTTGATATTTCCCAATTAATAACTTCCTTCCTCATCTATGCTCTCTCCCTATTTACCCGGTAGCGACTCACGTCATTGCAACGTCAGCTAAGTATAAGCTAGGTACATAGCGTTACACTTAATTAACCAAGAAGTGCAGTCGGGAGTAGAGGACGAAAGGCGTATATCAGACTCGTCCCAATTTCAAATGCGAGTCGAAAACAATAGTGCTTAAGCTCCGACATATAGAATAGAATAAAAGTAACGGGACAAGAAATAGGCCCATGGCCTATTGCCGGTTCTTATACTTTTCTTCGTGACTTGATTCACAAGGGATCCGGCCTTTGGAACCCGATCTTTCCATAACTGACGATTGATTGAGATAGCTGCTGGACTTATTGCCTGGTCCGTAATTTGCTAGGCATTTTAAGACTGAACATATGCTCCGGCATAGCTTCGTCTGGACTTATTGCCTGGTCCGTAATTTGCTAGGCATTTTAAGACTGAACATATGCTCCTGCATAGTTTCGTCTAGTCTGTTCTTGAAGGCGTTCATACTCGCAGCGTCTACGATGCTATCATGGAGGCTGTTCCACATGTCGGTGACTCGAAGCGAGAGGAAATATTGTCGCATGGATGTGTTACAACGCACTTTTTTGTTTATAGCCGTGGCCCCTGGTGTTGGTTATTTTTTCAAATTCTAGGACTCCTTCCAGGTCCATGCATATACCGTGGGTATTTGTATATTTCAATGAGATCACCACGCAGACGTCGGTAACAGAGGCTTGGAAGCTTCATAATCTTTAATCTTTCTTCATAAGACTTATGCTTGTTTGTTCCCATAAACTGCAAGCCTCATATAATCAGTAAATAATACTCTCTAAATCGTTACGCTGTACCACACCACATTAATCCTCGGTATCATTATCACATACTGAAGCAGCCTCAGGACATTTATATAAATATTAAGTGAAGGTGCGACATAAAACGCACACCCTACTTACAGTGGGCACGAACTAAATAAAGTGATTCATGAATGACTCCAAACTTGACAAAGTAAAAAATCGAGGCCAGTGAGAACTAAACGGGTACCAGTACGAGTCCCGAATCAATAAAGAGTGGCAATAAAACGAGAAGAGATGGATGGATGCAACGCCCACGGCTACAGCGACTACGTAACAGAGGAGGGATGATTCCATCTCATGGATTCGTTGACTGGTACAGGCAGGACTCCTATCCAACCAAGCAGGATTCCTATCCTATCTGTACAATTTTCCTCAAACTTAGATCTCCCATTTCACCTTACTTTCCTCTCTATTGGTGCAATCTCGAGTGAAGGCAGAGCTCACATAATGATAGTTCGTATAGTTCTCTTTTATTCGACTAACAAATAAACCCACAATTTTTTTTCAACATTTATTCTGGAACCACGATGAAAGGCCATTGGTGGAATATTTATAACACATGAAACTCTACAAAGCAAAAGATTTTCAACAATCTTATCAAGCAGCGCATAGTATTGTCTCATGATGCTTTCCTCTTGTGGAAGTTAATGCTCAATCTGAATTGGTTTAACCTGATCAGTTTCACATTAAAACTAACTATTCTACGCACGAAATGAATTTATTGTCACAAAGGACCTAAAATACTAAGTAAAATTACTTCAGAACTACGCGTGAACAAAACAACGCGTCATCTTGATATATCCAAGTCATGGGGACAAGATGAACATGTTTACTAAGAGTACCTAAGTCGTGGTCCTATAGTCCAATGTCACCACACGTGATATTACACATACATTTACTCATCTGCATCATATCTGATACATTTACTCATCTACATCATATCAGATACATTTGTAAAAAAAATCTAGAACTAAAACTAATCTATCGAAGATATATTGAAACAAGTCCGCTTTTCTACCAAGTACACTTAACTATAATCACAGTCAGGTGAACATTCAATGAAATCAGTTCAAAAACACGTTGATGACATCATTAGATCAACGGTAGAGATTTATTTACGGAGATTATACTTGGAAAAGTTCAGGTACTTTAGTGTACAGATATTTTGTATCACCCGTAAGCAGTATTTGTGAGCTGCAATATCTGCAAGAAAATAAAATCAAGTCGATACCTGACATTACCTATTACGAGAATAAAGCATATCTGTATATGTTCGCAAAAAAAAAAAGATCGAAATTCAAAGAACTTTTTCTAAAAATTCCAACGAAAGCCACAATTTAAAGGAAAAATTTAGAGATGAAAGAATAACTAGATTACTAAATGCAGGGAGTGTTAGTGTTGGAACCAAAGTTATATTTTAATTAAAACTAAGCAATTTATTGAACTATCATCATTTGGATACAGTATTGTTGTGTCAAACACTCAAGAAAATCCTAATCTAAAACAAATGTAATTGGAATAAAAAACGCAAGAACACTTGCAGAAAGGAACAAAAATTTCATGGAGAACTACGTGCAATATTCCAGTAGTCAAACAGAATATACAACACAGTGTAGTAATTGCGAACGATAAAAGCAGAAATATGCAAGATTTGCATAAGACGGGACCTTGAAAAACGGGAGGGATGGCTAAGACAGGACCTTATTAACGGAATGGCAAGACAGGACTCTGAAAAACGGAATGGTTAAAACAAAACCCCGAAAAACAGGATGGATAAGACAACACCCCGAAAAACTGGATGGTAAAGACAGAACCCTGAAAAACGGAATGGCTAATTAAGACAAGACCCCGAAAAACAGGATGGCTAAGACAACACCCTGAAAAACGGGATGTCTAAGACAGGACCCTGAAAAATGTAATGGATGGCTAAGACAGGATCTTAAAAAACGGGATGAAAAGACGACCCTTAAAAACGGAATGGCTAAGACAGAACCCCGAAAAACGGGAGGGATGGCCGAGGCAGGACCATGAAAAACGGGAGGGGTGGCTAAGACAGGACATTAAAAAACGTTATGGCTAAGACAACACCCCGAAAAACAGGATGACTAAGGCAACACCCTGCAAAACGGAATGAATGGCCAAGACAGGACATTAAAAAACGTTTTGGCTAAGACAAGACCATGAAAACATCGCGTTTTTTCTCTCGGTCTGCACGGGACTGAGCTCGAGATGGTTGCAGCGGGCGCTTCTTGTTAGGCTTGCTCTTGTTTTTCTTGTTGTTGTTGTTGTCTTCGGTGTCGCTCACTGGGTGAATCATATCACTGCGGTCTAGGATACGGTCTAGCTCCTTTTTGCTGAACACTGCAATGTAAATAATAATTTAAATAAATAACTGCCATTCATTAATTATCTTGAACACACTTACTCTTAGCTCAAGCTCTTACACTGCCACATAATTAATAATTTAAATAAATGCCGTTAATTAATTATCTTAAACACACTTACTCTTAGCTCAAGCTCTTACACTGCCATGTAATTAATAATTTAAATAAAGGCCGTTAATTAATTATCTTGAACACACTTATTCTTAGCTCAAGCTCTTACACTGTCATGAAATTAATAATTTAAATAAATAACTGCCATTAATGAATTATCTTTAACACGGAGTGCTGTACTTAGCTCAAACACAAAAGATACATTACAGATACTAAATACAACTATCCCGGTCATTTTTTCAGCTGAATAAAAAACGACAGACAAATCAAATGAATCTGTTCAACGTAATTGAAAGTACCTCCTAAAGGAAAAACAGAATAGATGCAGTAAAATATATCACATACAAAGATTTGAAAGGAAGGAACATTAACATTTTCCCCTATTCTCATTTGACTTCTTGTATTTTCATTAACATCAAAATAGCTGTAAATCAGTGTATATTATTATTATTATACTGTTTACAAGAGTCAGAGTCTATGGATACTACCTCATTAACATTAGAATGTATAGGTAGACTCTCAACATTAAAATATATACAGACTCATTAAGGTCATGAAGTTGTTCACCTTGGTTGGTGGCCTTGTCCAGAATGTATAGGTCANCAGTCAATACCTGTCCTTGACTTGCTCTTACACCAAGCAGTCAATACCTGTCCTTGACTTGCTCTTACACCAAGCAGTCAATACCTGTCCTTGACTTGCTCTTACACCATGCAGCCAATACCTGTCCTTGACTTGCTCTTACACCAAGCAGCCAATACCTGTCCTTGACTTGCTCTTACACCAAGCAGCCAATACCTGTCCTTGACTTGTTTGAAGCGCCCAGCTTTCATGATGAGTTTCTCAAGGCATCGCTTGCTGTTGGCTCGCTCCACAATTTTCTCGTCTGAAACACGAGGCGAGAATAATAACAATAATACAAAGCAAAATAGGCAAATACAATGATAATACAAAAATTTAAACACACAGTGGTGAGACGATCAAGAATGAGAACAAGACAGACGAAATGATAGAAAAATACAAGAATAATTGCACATACATCACTGAAAAAAATGTTCAAAAAACGTCAAAGCATACGTCAAAGATTCAATATAATTATAATAGTGCAAATACAAAATAAGTACCTAATCATCGAGAGAAAAAAATATAAATTACTAAACTAAAATATAATAACAATACAAAAACGTATATGCATTTCTAGACAGAAGCGCAAGCAAATATCTAGGGCCATATGGAAATAATATGAATCATCATCTCTTATCAGCAAAAGACCAGAGATTGTGTTCACTACTCCCTTCCTCTGTCTTTAACACATTAGAGAAAATAATTTCATTCTTAATCGTCAGCATTACAATTTGCAAACTAATGACCAACTAATTAAAACTAGTAGTAGTCACTAAGTCACTAATCAGAGCACCAAAATAAGTTTGGTGACAGAAATTATGATGATTCACCAACAGGTATCCAAGAACGGACACTAGCAGCAGTCATGGTAATTCACTATTAGACCACTAACCGACACTAGCAGCAGTCACTAGCCGCAGCACCAGCACCGGTTTGGTCTGGCCTATCCTGTGGCAGCTCACTAACCGATACTAGCAGCAGTCACTAGCCGCAGCACCAGCACCGGTTTGGTCTGGCCTATACTGTGGCAGCGGTCATGGTAATTCACTAACTAGTGACACTAACCGATACTAGCAGCAGTCACTAGTCGCAGCACCAGCACCGGTTTGGTCTGGCCTATCCTGTGGCAGCGGTTCAATGATTCACTAACCGATACTAGCAGCAGTCACTAGCCACAGCACCAGCACAGGTTTGGTCTGGCCTATCCTGTGGCAGCGGTTCAATGATTCACTAACCGATACTAGCAGCAGTCACTAGCCACAGCACCAGCACGGTTTGGTCTGGCCTATCCTGTGGCAGCGGTTCAATGATTCACTAACCGATACTAGCAGCAGTCACTAGCCGCAGCACCAGCACAGGTTTGGTCTGGCCTATCCTGTGGCAGCGGTCCTGCGCCTGCAGGTCCTGCTGAGGGTTCCAGTCGCTGTCGTAGATGATGACCGTGTCGGCCGCCGTCAGGTTGATGCCTGCGGGAGGCGCAGTGAATCTAGCGTGAGCAGTGAAGTCGTATAGCATGAGCAGTGAAGTCATATAGGCTGTTATTGTGCATTATTCTGTCATATAGCACGAGCAGTGATGTCGTATAGCATGAGAAATGAAGTCGTATAGCGTGAGAAGTGAAGTCATATAGTATGAGCAGTAAAGTCATATAGCATGAGAAATGAAGTCGTATAGCATGAGAAATGAAGTCATATAGCATGAGCAGTGAAGTCATATAGGCTGTTATTGTGCATTATTCTGTCATATAGCATGAGCAGTGATGTCGTATAGCATGAGCAGTGATGTCGTATAGCATGAGAAATGAAGTCGTATAGCGTGAGAAGTGAAGTCGTATAGTATGAGCAGTGAAGTCATATAGTATGAGCAGTAAAGTCATATAGCATGAGAAATGAAGTCGTACAGCATGAGAAATGAAGTCATATAGCATGAGAAGTGAAGTCCTATAAGCAGTTATTGTCATATAACATGCGCAGCGAAGTCATATAGCATGAGCAGAGAAGTCACATGAGCAGTGAAGTCACATGAGCAGTGAAGTCGAATAAGCAGTGAAGTCGTATAAGCAGTTATTATGTCATATTACATGTGCAGTGAAGTCATATAAGCAGCTATTCTCTCGTATATCATGAGCAGTGAAGTTATATATCATGAGCAGCGACGTCATACAAGCAATTAATCTCTCATATAGCATGAGCAGTAGTATTAACCGAGCTGCGATATGGCATAGGCAGTAAAATACAACACTAAAATTATTTTAACAGCAGAGGAGTATAATTACTCAGATTTCCAGCATTTGTACAGTACGAATACACAAGAACGTACCCAAGCTCCCGGCCCTGGTACTGAGTAGGAAGAGAAAAACGTCCGAGTCTTTGTTGAAGGAATCAATGTCTGCCTGACGGTCTTCTAGAGACACCTGGAAAGTAATTATTTCCAATATTACAATAGTGCACCAGTTGATGATAATTTTCATTACATATTACGCCATATTGTATTAAGTGCAACTTTATGAAATTTTCACTTATACATAGGTATTGTATACACTTCATACATATTGTGTAAAGCCTAAGGGCTATTTTATGAAATTCGTGTTTGTGAATTTCTACCTGGATCAATTATGTCCTTTTAGTCCAACTTTTATCAAATTTTCTCCCATTCTTTGAAATGCCAGAGACAAGAAAAAAAATATCCTAACGGTCCACGAAAGAATATACAATAAAGTTGATCAGGCAAGTTAAATAAAGCAGTTATAGTAGGATTAAACTAGCAGGCACGTGAAGTTGAACAAATTCTGATTGAACATTACTAATTTATTCATGTAATGTAACGTCATGTGCCTGCAGGGAATAATTAACAATAGTATAACTGCGTCAAACATATTGGTAATGATATTATAAAGTAAACCTAGATATTCAGTAGCAATAACCCATACATCCGTCCAGTCTGAGGTTGTTGTACTGGGGGTGCAAGGTAGAATACTAGATACTAGAATATTAATAGAGTCTAGAGTAATACTAGATACTAGAGTAATACAAGGTATTCAGTAACAGTAAACCACAGATCCGTTGAGTCTGAGGTAGTTGTACTGGGGACGCATGTAAGGCACTTGATACTAGAATAAAACTAGATACTAGACACTAGAGTAATACTAGATATTGAGTAGCAGTAACCCACAGATCCATCGAGCCTGAGGTAGCTGTACTGAGGACGTAGAGTGAGGTAGTCGTGCAGGATGTCGAGCAGTTTAGTCATCTGAGAGAAGAGTAGCACCTTGTGACCGCGACTGTACAGCTCCTGCAGCAGCTGGTCCAACACCTGTAGCTTGCCGCACGAGGATACCAGCTCTTCGTCCACCTGCAATGTGACATAATCATTAATTAAATGCAATACGGTAATATACCATAAACTGACAAGTTCTTTCATGCACTTGTAAAGTTACTTGCTCATTAATTAAATGAAATACAATGCCATAAAGTGACACAAGTTCTTCGTCCACCTGCAAAGTGACTTCCTCATTAATTAAATGCAATAAAATAATACCAGCTCTTTGTATAATCTGCAAAGTGAGTTACTAATTACTAATTAATTAAATGAAATAAAATGCCTCAAAGTGACACAAGCTCTAAGTCCACCTGCAATGTGACTTGCTAGTTAATTAAATGAAATAAAATAACATAATACCAGTACTTTGTCAAACTGCAACATCACTTGCTAGTTAATTAAATGCGATAAAATGCCTTAAACTGCAACAAATTCTTTGTCCACCTGCGAAGTGACTTGCTCATTAATTAAATGAAATCAAATACCATGAATTGATACATGTTCTTTTTCTACCTGTTTGGTGTGTTTATTATTTTAATTAAATTAACTACCATAAAGTGACGCGAGCTGTTAATCATCCTGTGTCACTTCAAGCATTCAATTAGTTATATGTAATCAAGGACTAAAATGTAATCGCAAATTATTCTAAATGAAAGTAAGTTATTATTCAAAATGAATGATTAATATATTCTAAATGAAAGTAATAGTTATAGGTATTAGTCTAAACTAACATCAGCCAAGCTTATATCGTACCTACTGTCAATTAACGGCATACGAGATCATCTGACGTAACGATCATTTGACAAGATAAATGCTTAGTTTTGTACTAAAATGTATGAAAATTAGTTTCAAACTATTAACTATTTCAAAGGGATTTCATTTTTAATTTGAATACTAATTAATGATAATATACTATAGTAATTTAGTATAGTACTACCATAGTTTAGTATAATATACTATAGTAACTTTATATATACTATAAAAGACTATATAATAAATTAATAAAAGGTGTTTACCCTATACTGTCCGTCGGGGGTGAGGGGTAGGAGATGAGGTAGGGGTAGTTCACAACCATTTAATTTTTATTTTGAATAATATAAATAATAAAAAGACTATGTAATAAACTAATAATAGGTGTTCACCCTATACTGTCCGTCGGGGGTGAGGGGGTAGGAGATGAGGGAGGGCTGGTTCACAACCATTTAATTTTTAATTTGAATAATGTATGTAATAAAAAGATTATATAATAAAGTAATAATAGGTGTTTACCTTATACTGTCCGTCGGGGGTGAGGGGGTAGGAGATGAGGTAGGGGTGGTTCACCACTCTCCTGCACTGCATCATGCGGTTCTGCAGTCGAACCCGCAACTTGCTTTTGGTTTCTTTTTCTGGGAGTCTGGAAAATGTACAATAAATAATTCATTAATGTTTCATGAAGAGCGAAGCACACATTTTGAATGAAAAACAGATTTTAAATGAAAGGTAGATACAATACAATATATGTTTCATCAATGTGTAATATGAAGAGTGAGGCAGATATTTTAAATTAAAGGCAGACATTTTAAATGAAAGGCAGGCATTTTAAAATATAACAAGAATTTGAGGGAAGAGGAGAAAATCAAATAAGTATTACTTTATAAATTCCGGAAGGCTGGAGTATACTTTTTTTCAATAGAGAGGTTTGATATGGAATCAATAGTTGGGAAGATTGAGTTAAATTTAATGCAAAAAAAAAAAAAATTTATAAGCCTGAGCTTTGTGGTAGTAACAAGTTTTAAATCCCTGAGTTTATAAATGGTAGTAGCAAGCTCTAAATCCTTGAAAAAAAAATCCTCAATATGCTATCCCTTACTGCTGATGTCTAAATTTACTGCATAATGGCTAAATTTATCATTAAATGGCGGAATTTACCCATTGGATGTGGGCTGGAACATCACAATGAAAAGTTTAAACCCAAAAAAATAAAATTTATGGCTTGATGCCTATAATTTACCCATTCGATGCGGACTGTAACATCACAACGAAAAGTTTCAATCCCCCAAAACTAAAATTTACCCATTGGATGTGGGTTGAAACCTCATCATCATGAAAAGTTTCTTTAAAAAATAAACATTTTATTTTTTTATAAAAAATTAAAAATTATAAATAAAAATAAAATTTATGTCTTAATGCCTAAATATTACCCATCAGAGGTAGGCTGGAAGAGCTGTAGGGCGGTCAAGAACCTGTCCAGACCAGCAAAACTAAAATTCACCACCATTTTTTTTACCCATCGCGATCGGATTTGAGTTGAAACATCACAATGAAAAGTTTTAAACCCCCAAAAATAAAATTTATGTCTTGATGCCCTAAATATTACCCATCAGATGCAGGCTGGAAGAGCTGTAGGGCGGCTAAGAACCTGTCCAGGCCTACGGGACTGTCGAGGTGCATGCCGTCCAGCAGCGCCTTGACGCGTCCTGCACCTTGAGTCGCGCAGCGCCGTATGGGCCGTCCTTTGCTGTCGTACGTTACTTCTTCAACCATACCTTCCTGTAACGGGTTACAACCACGTATTATGATGTAATACGACGTATCATAATATAATATGACGTATCATTACGTATTATAACATATTACCACGACGAATCATCACAACATTAACATGCCACATGCTGTCGTACGTTACTTCTTCAACCATACCTTCCTGTAACGGGTTACAACCACGTATTATAATGTATTAAAACAACGTATCATATTGTCAGGTCGACACTGCATTATACCATAATGCAATAAAAGCCATAGTTTGTAACCATAGCATACAAATATGTACCAAAATGCATTAAAAACGATGTATTGTAATGTATTACAAAGGCGTATCTCATAATGTATTACAACGACATATATCGATGTATTACAACGACGTATCATGATGTATTACAAGTTTACATCGACGTTTCAATGTTTTACAACGACGTATCAATGTTTTACAACAACGTATCATCACAACATAGAGCAGCAACTTTTGAACCACCACATGCTGTTGTACTTCCGTTCCTCCTTCTTCCCCTCCTGAAACGTATCATCACAATTGCATCCTATGTCGTTCTCTTGAAAGGTCTCATCACAACGTATCATTACAATTCTATCTAATAATACTGCACAAGGTCTGGTAATAACTACAACTAGTTAAAGATACAGTGATGAATGAAGAATCTTTCTCGCATGAGGTTTCTTCAACATCCTAAAACAGACAAATTCTCATACTTTCAAATCAGAAGCCTTACAATATTGTTGAGTAACTCCAGCATAACTAGCATTAATAGACAAGATAGTTTTAGAAATTTCAACGGTATAGAAGTGATTTAACCAAAAAACGGTCTAGAACTCTGCTTGTTCATGACTTTCCTCTACCACAAAATAAGAAGTTTTTGATTAAAAAGTAGCTGATAACTTGAAAGCAGAAAAGTTTTTGTCCAGCATAACTTTCATCCAAAATAACTAACCTGTTCCTTGAAGAAAGAAGTCTTAGTCCAGCGTAACTTTCATCCAAAATAACTCACATGTTCCTTGAAGACCGCCAAGTCTTTTTCCAGCATAACTTTTAGATAAAATAACTCACCCATTCCTTGAAGACAGAGAAGTCTTTGTCCAGCGTAACATTTAGCCGAAATAACTTACTTGTTCCTTGAAGACTGAAGTCTTTGTCCAGCATAACTTTTATCCAAAATAACTTCGCCGAGTAGGACGTCCTTTTCCGTCGTACGTTACTTCCTCAACCGTGCCTTCCTGTAACGGGTTACAACGTATTATAATGTATTAGGACGACGTATCATAATGTTTAAGGACGACACTGCATTACCATACCATAATGTCTTAAAATTCATTATACCATAATGCACTAAAAACCATAATTTGTTGCCATACCAAAAAAATATGTACCAAAATGCATTAAAAACGATGTATCATAATGTATTACAACGACATATATCGATGTATTGCAACGACGTATCAATGTTTTACATTTATAAGAAGTTTTTGATTAAAAAGTAGCTGATAACTTGAAAGCAGATAAGTCTTTGTCCAGCGTAACTTTCATCCGAAATAACTCACCTGTTCCTTGAAGACAGAGAAGTCTTAGTCCCGCGTAGCTTTCAGCCAAAATAAGCCATTTATTCCTTGAAGACAGAAAAGTCTTTGTCCAGCATAACTTTTATCCAAAATAACTCGCCTGTAGTTATGTAGTGTAGTTAATTAGTGTATTTGTAGTGTAGTTAAGACAGCTANGACGAAGCAGGAATGGCGACAAAATCTGGAAATCAATTCAAATATCAGTGAATGGTGCTGTGGAAATCAATTCAAATATCAGTAAATGGTGACAAAATCTGGAAATTAATTCAAATATCAGTGAATGGTGCTGTGGAAATTAATTCAAATATCAGTGAATGGTACTGGCAAGAGATAGAAAATATAATAAATAAATTGGAAATGTAATGCAGGAACAAATCAAGAGCATAGTTAAGCCATACAATAAAAAAATATAACTCAGTACTCACTGCAGTGAGTGACAGAAAGCGCATTTTCTCGTCGACGAAAACGTGAAGTCACGGACGGACGGACAGACAGACAGACGGACGGACATGCCGAGCACAATAGTTCATTTTTTCCATAAATGGGAAAATGCGCTAAAAAGCTGCTAGTAAGCGAGGTAATGTTTGTGAAAAGATAATATGAAACTATGGCAAAAAAATTAAATTTTACCAAAACATAAGTTTAATGATACTTTTGACATGGTTAGAATCAATAATGGTACACTGAAAAGTATAGTTAAGATAATGAAGTAAAAAAATTGACCAATTCAAGGTGACCATAACTGTTAATTTGAAATGAAACGAGCAGTAGCCCATATCTTAAAAGCTGTACTGCAGATAATGAAATAATATCACCTGATGAAAGCTGAAGATTCTATTATATATATTTGTGAGAGTTTGTTTGTTTGCAAGTCATCTGAAGGAAAACTGTAAATTTTAATATAGGTATTTTTGAGAGTTAATGTATGTTTGTTTGTAAGTCATCTGAAGGAAAACTGTAAATTTTAATATAGGTATTTGTGAGAGTTAATGTATGTTGTTTGTAGGTTGTAAGCATATCGCTGCAATATATAGGGGCTGTAGTATAGGTATATAATTTATATATAGGGGCTGTTGTATACATAATACATATATATAGGGGCACCTGATGCAGAGTGCTGATGATTCTTGATTCTTCTTCTTGTTTAACGATGCGGAGTTCAGCGTCATCATTCGCCATGTTGGTCACGTCAAACCACGACTCAAACACGTCCAGTGAGTCAAACACCTGTAAAGAAGTGAGTCAAACACATCCAGTGAGTTAAACACCTGTAAAGAAGTGAGTCAAACACCTGTGCACAGAAGTGAGTCAAACACCTGTAAAGAAGTGAGTCAAACACCTGCACCTGTAAAGAAGTGAGTCAAACACCTGTAAAGAAGTGAGTCAAACACCTGTAAAGAAGTGAGTCAAACACCTGTAAAGAAGTGAGTCAAACACTGTACAGAAGTGAGTCAAAAACCCGCACAGAAGTGGGTCAAACACTTGCACAGAAGTGAGTCAAACACCTGTAAAGAAGCGAGTCAAACACTGCACAGAAGTGAGTCAAACACCTGCACAAAAGTGAGTCAAACACCTGTAAAGAAGTGAGTCAAACATGTGCACAGAAGTGAGTCAAACGTGTGCACAGAAGTGAGTCAAACATGTGCACAGAAGTGNACCATAGGTAACAGGAGTTACCATAGGTAACAGGAGTTACCATAGGTATCAGGAGTTACCATAGGTATCAGTAGTTACCATAGGTATCAGGAGTTACCATAGGTAACAGGCGTTACCATAGGTATCAGGAGTTACCACAGGTAACAGGAGTTACCATAGGTAACATGAGTTACCCTAGCTAACAGAAGTTACCACAGGTAACAGGAGTTACCATGGGCAGGAGGAAGTTAAGCAAGGACCACAGCTCAGCCAGGGAGTTCTGCAGCGGCGTGCCGGTGAGCAGCAGACGACTGGGGCACTTGTAGTTCTTCAAACATCTGCGCAAATTATATATGTTACAGTTTTATCAGACATTAATACTTTATAAATATTCATGAATACTTTATATAAGGCTTGGAACCACAGATATATATGTTACACAGATAATATATGTTACTGTTTTATCAGACATCAATACTTTATAACTATCAATGAATACTTTATAAAGACAGATATTAATACTTTATATAAGACTTGGAACCTTCATCTGTGCAGATAATATATGTTACTGTTTTATCAGACATTAATACTTTATAAATGTTCATGAATACTTTATAAAGACAGATATTAATACTTTATATAAGACTTGGAACTTACATCTGTGCAGATAATATATGTTGTCGTTTTATCAGACATGTATACTTTATAACTATTCATGAATACTTTATATAAGGCTTGGAACCACAGATATATATGTTACACAGATAATATATCTTACTGTTTTATCAGACATCAATACTTTAAAGAAGTTAGACATGATTACTTTATATAGGACAGCCATGAATACTTTATACAAGACAGATATGAATACTTTATATAAGGCTTGGAACTTACACCTGCATTAATAATATATGTTAACATTTTAATAGACATCAATATTTTATAAGTATTCATGAAAACTTTATACAAGACTTGGAACCTACACCTGCACAAATAATATATAATACTGTTTTACCAGAAATGAATACTTTACAGTGAATCACACTTGTAAATTATAATTGGTATTACCATAAAACTAAAACTATCTAAAGTGAAACAATTTAATAACTGGCAATTAATTTTGCATGAAATGAACACCGTTTTTAATTAATCATTCAATATATTTACTCAGTAATGCAACATTATTACATTACTTCACATTTTTTGCATGCAAAGGACAAACTCATAATTTTTTTTTCAAAAATGGGGGCAAATTTTCGAAGTTTGACCTGCATGGTGATAAATTTTTGACTATATTCTCCTGGTTAAACCTAATCAAAGTAAAAATTGAAGAGGAAATTGTTGAAATAATATCAAGAGAATCATATGCTAGATAAATAAATTATATGAAGGGGGAAAAAATTACATCATTCTGGCTGAACCTATCCTTCAAATAGTGAAAGGACTGTCAGTCTTGAAAGGTAAACTCACTTGGCAAGAAATGATAAATTAATTTATTTATAAGTAAATGACATAATTGAGATGAATAAATTATATGAAGAGGGTAAAAATCAAATTCTGGTTGAACCTATCCCGAGCAAATAGTGAAAGGTATTACAATCCGCATTGAAAGATAAACTCCTTGGCAAAAAATGATAAATTGATTTATAAGTAAATGAAATGAAGGGGATAAAATCAAATTCTGGTTGAAGCTATCCCGGGAAATAGTGAAAGGATTACACTCAATATTGAAAGGTCAACTCACTTGGCAAGAAATGATAAATTTATTTATTTATAAGTAAATAACATAACATAATTGAGATAAATAAATTATATGAAGAGGGTAAAAATCAAATTCTGGTTGAACCTACCCCGGGCAAATAGTGAAAGGTATTACACGGAGTATTGAAAGATATACTCACTTGGCGAGACGACATTCATAATTTTTTATCCGATGTCCCTCATCCACAGCAAGATAGCGCCATTGGTAGGGGCTCAGGAGACGGTGTGACAAAATTGCAATCTGTGACACAAAATTAAATGTTTAAGTAGGGGCAAAAATCAACCGAATTAATGATAATTTTCGTTACTATGCAGTTAAAAAAAATTCCTTTGCCATGCAGTCAAAAATATGATTGCAACAGAACCAGTACCTATAAAAAATTAATTATGGCAGAATAAACATTCAACTCAATTTGAAAGTTTCAATACAGTACCATATTTATAAAAAACAAAATTATCACTACAACTTGGGTACGTATAGGTGATAATTATTTTAAATTACTCAAATAAAAAAATCAAATTCTAACATACCTCGTAGCTCGTGACAACAATAGGGCATACTATACTCTAGTTATCAAAAACTATAGTAATAGTTATCAATATTTATAAAAAACAAAATTATCACTACAACCCTATCAAAAATTTTAGTTGGTGGCGAGCCTGAATTAGGGACCGCCTAGGACTCGGACCAAACGTAAATCAGCTTCTCTATGTCCGCTTTTTGGTCTACATTCCGGCCCCCGAATCAGACAGCTACCAGAGCCTGGTGAGGGGACTGTGGGGATTCTGCCAACTCTTGCCCTACTCTCAGGAGACCTGGAGACCATAAAGTTGGCCAGAAGGTTCTGACTAGACGCTGATTGCGATCAGTTGGCCAACTGACCCAGAATAACTTTGCGCCGAGTGTAGTGACTATTCGGCTGAAGCCTAGGCGGTCCCCGAATTTTGTTAGGGAACTTGGTATATATGGTAATTATATTAAATTATTCAATAAGGAAAATAACACAAATTGTAACACACCTCGTAGCTGGTGACAACAATAGGGCAGACGTTGTGGGTAACGGAGCTGCCATCAGGTAACGTAACCGTCACGGGCGACGTCTTGTTGAACAGCTTCATCTTCTCACGACGCACGTCCTCATTGCCATGGAACAACACGTACGGCAGCTGCAATTAAAAACTACCATTAGTATTACTTTTCAACTTAATTTCATGAGATGTTCATAATAAAAAAAATTTTAAACATTCATCTTCTCATGCCGTATGCCCTCATTGCCATGGAACAACACGTATGGCAGCTGCAAGTGATATGTGTCTTTATTAATACTTTTCAACATAATTACAAAAACAAAAATTGTTTGCAATTTAAACAAATTATTTTCGAATATTCATTATCTCATGCCGTACACCCTCATTGCCATGGAACAACACATATGGCAGCTGCAAATAGTAAGTGTTTATTATTACTTTTTGATTTAAATTCAGAAGATGTTTGCAATTTAAACAAAATATTTTTAAACATCCATCTTCTCATGCCACACGCTCTCATTGTCATGGAACAACACGTACGGCAGCTGTAATTAATAACTATCTTTATTATTACTTTTTGACTCAATTTCACGAGATGTTTACAATTGAAACAAATTATTTTCAACCGTGTCGAGAGCCTAAAGTACAATAATAGACATAGCCCATTCCTACTACATATAATCAAGAATGTTGGTGCAAATAAAGATCTGTAAAAGAGATGGCTATTAACACAGGTGGGAGATGGGTAACTTTGATCTTTTTTTCATCATTTTTTTTTAAATCCTGCTTTATAAATGAGGTGTAATAAAGGATCCGAATACCTAAATTCCCACATATTGGTCTCACAAGTTGCACAGAGTGTATTATGGTTACATGTAATGTACGGTTATGGTTATGGTTTAGTAATCAGAATGCTCAAATCTCACCTGTGGAGCAAACATCTTGATCTCATTGCACCAGTTGCATAGGGTGCATTATGGTTACATGTAATGTATGGTTATGGTTATGTAATGTATGGTTATGGTTAATTATGTATGGTAATAGTTTAGTAATCAGAATGCTCTAATCTCACCTGCGGAGCAAACATCTTGATCTCGTTGCACCAGTTGCACAGCGTGCTGAGGGGGGCCACCACCAAGAAGGGACCCTTGACACCTTTCTCGACGAGATGACACAGCAGCGCTATTGTCTGCACTGTCTTACCCAACCCCATCTCGTCTGCCAGCATCCCATTCACTCCATTCTCATATAGCACCTGTAGGTGTACATGACATTGGATTATTTGTTATAAACCACATACAATATAAATTTCTCGACGAGATGGCACAGCAGCGCTATTGTCTGCACTGTCTTACCCAACCCCATCTCGTCTGCCAGCATCCCGTTCACTCCATTCTCATATAGCACCTGTAGGTGTACATGTTTTTGTATCATTTGATATATCAATATAACATACAAATGCCTTTGTATCATTTGGTATTAAACCAACATAACAGAAAACATGGCATGGTATCATTTGTTATCAACCATATATAATATAAAACATACCTTTGTATCATTTGCTATCAAAGCAATATGACACCTAATATGCCTTTGTATCATTGGTTATCAAACATATAGCATACCTTGGGATTATTTGGGGTTGGATCAATATAACATACCACAAGCCTTTGCATCATTTGGTTGAAACCAACATGAAACATTCCTTTGGATCATTTGTTTTCATATCAATATAACATAAAACCTGTCTTTGGATCATTTGTTATCAAATCAATATAACATAAAAATGTCTTTGTATCATTTGTTATCAAATCATCTTCTCCTATAGGTTTTCAATAGAATATTGAATTGTTCACATGACAAATTTCAAACAATCTGCTCCTTCATGCAAGCTTTAATTATGAAAAAAATGTATTTTAGAAAAAAATCATTACATATGAAAAGCAGCAGAGGAAGAATGATTTTTCATGAGATAAAGCTATCATTGTGATTATTTGATTTATTATGATTAATTAAGTTAGAGTAAGAGAATATGAGTTAGAGAATATAAGTGGAGTATATAATACTGATGATTAAAACATTATTAGAGTCTGACTAATTTATTGATGTGAATTTTAGAAAATTCTCAGAAATTAATATTACCCTTAACCATAACCTGTGTTATCTTTAACCATAATTAATGTTACCCTAAACCATTATCCAGGCTCCACTGAACCAAAATCCAGCTTACCCTAAAAAACAATCCATCTTACCCTCAACCAAAATCCATCTTTCCCTAAAAATTCTCCATCAATCCACCTTACCCTAGAAATAATCCATCAATCCACCTTACCCTTAAAAATAATCCATCAATCCGTCTTACCCTAGAAATAATCAATCAAACCACCTTACCCTTAAAAATAATCCATCAATCCACCTTACCCTAGAAAATACTCCANGACCTTACCCTTAAAAACAATCCATCAATCCATCTTACCCTCGACCAAAATCAACCTTACCCTTAAAAACAATCCATCAATCCATCTTACCCTCAACAAAAATCCACCTTACCCTAAAAAACAATCCATCAATCCATCTAACCCTCAACCAAAATCCACCTTACCCTAAAAAATAATCCATCAATCTGCCTTACCCTCAACAAAAATCCACCTTACCCTGAAAAATAATCCATCAATTCTTCTTACCTTCACCCAGTTGAAGCCTTCAAGCTGATATAGATGCATCTCTGCGCCAGAGAGCAGCGGTGGCTGTGGTACGTACGGCTGGCCCAGAAGAGCCTCTCTCTGTAAGTCAACATGAGCAACAGTCAACACGAGCAACAGTCAACACGAGCAACAGTCAACACGAGCAACAGTCAACATTAGCAGCAGTCAACATGAGCAACAGTCAACATGAGCAACAGTCAACACGAGCAACATTCACACAATATTTTGGCTTCAGTACAAGTTTCATGTATGAAAAGTGACAATATTAAGTTAACCTCCTGACATGTGACAGGTAAACAAATTTGGGTTTGATTCTTCTGTGGAACATATACCTTTAGAAATATAAAATTAAAAATAAGTAATATTATTTGACCTGCTGCAATTCTTTGAAATGGTTTGTAGTTTCTTGGTGTTTTCAGCATGGCTATTGTTTAACTGGACAGGATACCTGTTTACCTCAATAATAACCTGTTCACCTTGGCAATTACCTGTTTACTGTAGAACTGAGACTTGCTTAGAAGAGACCAGAGTCGCTCGAGACGCACTTCACGGAGCTTCTTCTTACCCAGTTCCTCTATCTGCTTCTGCAAGATTCTCTCTCGTTTCTGCTTCTTCTTTTCTTCTAAATTATTCAGTTGTTGTGCTTCTATTTCCTCAGCTTCCATGAGTTTTGGGTCCACTTCTAGTAGAGGACTCGTGACGTCACAAGACATGACGTCATTTGACAGAAAATCATGGCCATGATTATTCAAGTTATTATTGCCAAAATTAGACGAGGCTTCAACAAGTTCATTCTTAGATTGTGAACCTTCAGAATTACTGTTATTAGTGTCAACCATTATTGCACACTACTGCAGGTATCTGCACCTGGTGATACTATATTAGATAACAGGAGAAAAAACAGGAGAAATAGATTCAATACAATAAAAACTTGTGCAAATGTGCATATTTTTATGTCATTGTATTTTCTCAAATTATCTTCATAAACCTCAAAATAAAATGAATACCGTCAAACGGGTTAAAAAGGGACGGATTTGAGTTTTTTGTTAATAACTTCTAACCATGAAACATTTCAGAAACAAGTTTAGGCTCATTTTATAGCTCTTTGCAAGGGCTATCCAATGGCATCTTAAAAAAAATCCATATGCTATTTGTAAGGTGCCAGACGCAAAATAAAACCGTCCCGATTTACCCCTCAAAGTGGGGTAATCCGGGACACTTGCAATAAAAGTTAATTTTAAAACGTTTGAAGCATGCAGAGTGTACTCATCCACTACTAACAGTACTTTGAAGTCCTCCTCTTTCATTTTAGATGATGTAGATGTAAAATAAATGACATTTTCTGTGATTTTTACTTGTTTTTCCTTTATTNGTAATCTTTCCAAGACATATGTACGGCACTGGATGTCAGCTCGTTTCAGTGATGCACCGGCCGTGTAAATGATCAGGTGTGCAACTTTTAGCTGTTGTGTTACTTCTAAAGTATTATTTATGCAATTAGATACCACCAATTTCTTTTTATGGATATAACATACTTTCTAATATAGGTATATATAATTTTAAGATTTTTTCACAGAATATTTTTGAGAAATCATGCAATTATTATTTGGCCTATACCATGAGTATAGGTAAAGCTTCACTTACTGATGACCAAATAGCAGCCTTATTAGCAGAAGGTTCTTCAAGTGACTCTGACAGTTCAGGGTTGAGTGATGACTCGGTTGCAGACTATTTTTTCCGACTATAAATAAAGCATGATGGGGGTGTGCATTTAGACCAAACCGGCATGACGTCTATAGACGTCGTCGAGCGTCAATGTGTTAAACCACTTTTAGTTTTTCTAACAAAAACCCCCCAAAACTCAAAAACTATTTGAAATAGAAAAATTTTGTCAATGGGCATTAAAGGCCTAATACTACTGAGGCTACGTCACATAATAGAAAGATAAAAAAATTATGCATATCTAATAGTTTAAAAAATGAAAAATGTGATCCACGAAAAAGAGCTATTATTTAAAGCCTGTGATAGAACCCTGTCCAATTTTTTATTTTTTAGTAAAATAACTCCCGGTTTTGGTGCATTGTAGTAGAACTCTTCTAGTTACATATGCAAATGACAAATTTGAGGAAAGTGTCATAGTTTGCAAATGGGGGGTGCCGCCCCTGAATGGGAGAACTTGGACCACCTAATGTCAGCCCAGACAGGGTAACATAGACCAGCTTGAAAATTAATTTAAAATTACCATATATAACATATTTTATGTTTGATACACCTATGAATGATTATCTTTATGTTTCAGACTCAACAGTCATATATATTTTAACTTAATTTCCAAGCCAGTCAATATTACCCTGTCACGGCAGACATTAGGTGGTCTAAGTTCCCCCATTCGGGAGCAGCACCCCCCATTTGCAAACTATGACACTTTCCTCAAATTTGTCATTTGCATATGTAACTAGAAGAGTTCTACTACAATGCATCAAAACCTGGAGTTATTTTGAGTTATTTTACCAAAGAATATAATTGATTTTATCAACCAGTCTAAGATACCCCACAAGCTGGGGTAACAAAGACCATCACTTTTTTGAGATTACATCAAAACTATGAGAGGCAGGAGCCAGCAATTTATGGTGAGTGAACCTAGAGTATAGACCTGTATTTTGCATGTTTAAATTTCGGTTTAATTCAGATAGTAAAAAAATGGCATCATTTAAAAAAAAGTAGTCTAAGTTATCCCCCTTTACATTATCAAGAATACTAGTATTATCATACTTGGATGTTGAATAAAATTTTTAACAAGATGTGGGAAATAAAAATGAACTGCTTCCCCTGAGGGGAAAAACAAACACAACAGACAAAATATTATTCTTGCAACCAACTGCCACTTCCTATTACAGTATATAATCTTTCACTAATTCTGCCACCACAGGATGAGTAAACTTGTATACCAATGATGATATAATTCCCTAAGGTATTTCAGTGTCAGAAACTAAATTAAGCTCAAAGCAGGTCATTCAAAATTGTATCAGATGAATGCTCAAACAAACCTCATACGACTTGAAACGAGACTTAAGTTATGAGAAAAGCTAACACTGTTTGAAATAAACATGTGCACAATTCAAATATTTTATATCCATTCACTGCATTTAATTATTTTATATATAGTCTTATAATTGTAATTGTTTTGTTTCTAGTTTTAAATTCCCATATTTAAAGATTGCAATTAAATATTTTAATTAGAATACTCGTATTTGGGTGGAAAATTTTTCTAATTGCCTAAAAGGTCAATACAATCTCAACCTCTCAATATACAGGGTGGGGCAGAACTGATTGAGCAGTTTTGTGGCAAAATAAAAGAGTAATGGAGGTACATGAAGAAGAAAGTTTATTTTCCTTGAGGTTAGCATAACATACCATTTAGAATACTTATGTTTTGAAAACAATATCTGGAAGATGGGGGCCGTTAGCTGCAACACATTGTTGGAGTTGTTCTCAGAGTAGGGAGTAACCATAACAGCGAATTCCGGTCGCTATGCTGCAATGTTGCAAAATTCCTTGCAGCCCATGATGGAAAACATTGTTGAAAATGAAGCATTGAGAGACGCGTGGTTCCAGCAGGATGGGGCTACAGCTCACAGAGCCTGAATGTCACTCAAAGTTTTGAAGCGCATGTTCCCAGACTCTGAGGGGTGATTTACAGGGGCCTGCGAGGACACCTGATTTGAGCATTTGCGATTACTTTCTTTGGGGACATCTAAAAGAAAGGGGTTCAGAAGTCGCCCTCACACCCTACCACAGCTAAGGGAATGGATTATTGCAGCATAGGTTATGGCCATACCTCGCCATATGTGTGAACGTGCTGTAGAAAACTTCCGAGAACAACTCCAACAGTGTGATGCAGCTAACAAACCCCATCTTCCTGATATTGTTTTCAAAACATAAGTATTTTAAATGGTATATTATGCTAATCTTGAGGAAAATAAACTTTCATCTTTATGAGTTTATGTACCTCCATTACTCTTTTATTTCACCTCAAAACTGTTCAATCAGTTCTACCCCACCCTGTATAAGCTAGCTAATACATTTAAATTGTATATTGTAATCAATATATAACAAATAGTCAAATAGTTAAAGACTACTTATAGCCTTATAAGAATTAGCTAAGCTGCTAGCTACGTACAATGTATTTCACACTTGATGCCTCTGTACCAAAAACATTTAATTTATTGGAACCTAATACATACTAAAGGCAACAAGTTTATATACCAATTTGTCATTCATAGTACATTTATACTAAACCATGAATAACAATACTTCAATATAAATTAAAGACTGCCACTCAATATATTTAAATATATGAAAAAATCAAATAAGTAAAAAAATCGTGATTTTTTATAAAAAATCGAGTGATTTAATCACATGATTTAATCATTTTGATTTAATCATTGCCAACCCTGGTGACTATCATGCAAATTATGCTAAAGAAATAATGAAACAAATATGCTGTATTGCTCATTGGTTAAGAAAAATTTCAACAAAATGAATGATTGAAGTAGATTTGTCAACTTGTTGAGGCTGTAGCCATGTAGCGTTTCAAAAAAGTTGCTTAACAAGCTATGTTACCTCGCTCACATGGGCCATGCATCAGTTCATTCAATTGCATACAGCTACTTTTTTAGTTTGGTGCAAGTAATGAGTAAATTTTGGAAGAATTACCATATTCTGGGGTTAAACAGAATACTCTTTCCAAATCCATACTCATCAGCAGGAGACCAATTCTGCAGCCCCTGCTACACTGTCATTTTTCAGGATCATGCTGGACAGGTGGAATTCTAGAAAATGATTGGTCATTCAGATCCACCAGACAACCAGAGCGCTGCAGCACTTCCCACTTGAGGAGCAATGGAGCATGAGGGAGGAGTGGGACAGCTGCATGCTCCAATACAAGCAGGCAGGCAGCAGCGGCACAGAGCGCTTGTCCAGTGGTAGTAGGAGCAGGATGAGTGCACTGCCGCTGTTGCCACTTGCCAGCCCGCTCGTATTGCGGCACGTGGCCACCTGGCCTCTGCTGGCAGGCCCACCCCACTCCTCCATTATATAGGCAAGTCATTTAGAATTCATTTAGAACGCCACTATGAATTAATGATTAGACCAGAGTACTCCACAGTTGATGGGGGGATGGGGGGAGGAGGTGCAATCCAAGGTGACTGCAACTGCAAGACTGGCAATTGTTGAGGAAATGGCAGTGATTTTGGGGCTGGAGGCTTGGAGCACTACAGTGCTCTTGTCCAAGGCATCACGCTCCCTTTCCAGGACGTGTGCTCCTACTTTGGTGGTTGGCCACCAGCCCACCACAATCCTAAATTACATAGGTAAAGAATATGGTCATTTAGACGGCATTTCAAATGCTATCCTGAATTTTATTAAATAGGTAAATTATAAATAAATAGGCCTTAGGTATAATACCACTTAAGTCACCACCCAATTTTTATGCCAGGCAAAAAAAATTACAGGTAAAACTTGGCAATTTCTTTTCAATTTCATTATCATCAAAAAAGAAAGCAATGGGCCAATGGTCACATTATGAGGCTGAGCATTGAGCAATAATATTGGCCATTAATGTCCACACAGCACAACTTGCACAAGCACAGGCTTTTTTAATAATATTTATATCATTTACAGGATTACAGCCTTGAAAGTTGGAGCTAGAGGTGAATTTAGCTTGATTTTCTAGTTTGGGTCATCAGAAGTTGTCAAGTCAACAGTCATGTTCCAAGCTTTTAACAGGAGCAATATTTTTTATTAAAATTACAAAAGCTTTACGTTTATACTAGTTTCTTCTTTCTAGTGCAATCATAAAATTAAAGGTATGTCCTATGTAGCTATGTGGAATTAAACCTATGCAGCTGAAAAGTGCAAACTGCTAACTCAGTAGGCTAACTGCAGAGGCCAAATAACTGTTCTGACTTTTGACCAGTATTTTCTATTTTCTTCATAGCACAGAAACTTAATTAAAGGCAGTATATATTTGCTAGTAACTATTGGGTCAAATTTAGCATGAATCCCACTGATAGAATAATCTTAATGGCATTGACAACACGGCTCTAGCCATGGACTCGTGGCTAAAAAAGAAACTTATTTTCTAAAATTCCCACACCTCAGCTATGTTGCGCCATAGTGAGCCATACTGCCATATTTAATGAAGATTTTACCGACACGTTACTCTTTAAATATCTCTGTAGGGTTTTTTTATAGATATTATCTCACTGATAGAATAATCCTAATGGCATTGACAACACAGCTCAAGTCGTGGACTCATGGCTAAAAAAGAAACCTACCTATTTTCTAAAATTCACACACCTCAGCTATGTTGCGCCATACTTAATTACCGAAGATTTTACCGACGTTACTCTTTAAATATCTCTGTAGAAGTTTTTTTTATAGATATCGTCATGATTTAGATAGATCTGGAAACAAATCCTAATTAATACACTGACAAAAATTGTTCAAACTTTTCTTATATAGACCGTGTGGCTTGCACCACTTTAGGCGAGGATTATGTAGGCCGAACAAGCTTCGGAGCCACGATTTGACCTTTCCCGCCATTTTTGCAGCCGCAATTCCCGATAGATAAATTGCCTCCCATCCAATTTTTCAATGAAGTGCACTGCACAACCAAGTCGCATGATTCCGAAGATATCGTAAATTTATCAATTTAAATTCACGCTATTTTAGTAATAAATAGGAATTTTATAAATACTGATGGTGACGTATGCAACAGGGTAAAATAAGTAAAAGGTATTATTTCAGATATAATGTGCATGATCATTATGTAAGCAAATATTTGCAAACAATGTAGCCCGTCAATACTGATTACGTTTTAGAAATTCTCTCTCTTACTGCACTAAACTGACATTGTATTCAATATTCATATACCTTCCCGAGCGTAACGCAGCCGGGCATCTTCACGGCTTTCGCCCCAAAGCGCCCACCACAACAGCGCCGTTCAGTCACAGGCACTTTGTGGTGTCACTTTCAGTCACTTTCTTTGTAAGAAAGTTTATAATAATAATGCTTACATCCTGAAAAGGTATACATGAGAGAGTAAAAAGCATGGTTCAACTGTAAACTTAAAGAAATTCAACTACAACTTCACATCATGGCATAAACCACACATTGTGTGACATGGTTAATAGAGCAAGTTGAAATCTAATACTAGTTAACTTTTCTTATTTACAGACTTGAGAAATAAGAACATGATTGCAGAAAATTGTTTTTATTTACTTTACAATCACGGCGAACTAAACTCTGGCATGAAATAGTGAAAAACCTAGCCAGCAGAATCACCTGCATGCATAATACCGGAATGATATCGAAATTAATATATAGTATGCCTTCATATCTTACTAAAGGTTTTTTCTACGGCATTCAGGCTCCATATAATTAATACAGAGCTGTTTACCTGTCACTCTCCAGTAAAATTAAGTTTTAGGGTAGTTGATCTTCAGTGTCTCTAAGATAGAGAAAATATGACCAAAAAATTAATATTTTATTTCTAAATAGAGCTTATGTGCATTTAAAATAAATAATGATAATATAATAAAATATAATAAAATAATGATAATTCATTTTGATATTTTCAATAGAGCTGAGGGAAATTACGGTATTTTCCATCTGTTATTTATATACATGTCTTGATGGGATTGTTATGCTTGGTTTTTTTAATGCATTAAAGCCAATATGAAATGTTTCTACAGTGAAATAACCACAACATGAAGCCCTCATGACCGACTTAAAGCACCACATTGCCCCGATTATGGCTTCATCTTGTCATTCACCAATATTATCCTGCAACGCGCGTGCCTAACTTATTCGTGTTTGAGCTGAGTCTGCTGAGATTTGTCCGATAAGACTAATGACTTGACTTGAATCTTCGTAAGGACGACACGTATAAACCATCTTGCTCATAGTTTTAAGTTTCACCTATGTAAGATATAACAATAACTCATAAAATAAATCCCGTTCTTGTGAATTCAATAGTTTCCTATTCCAATAATCCAATTAAAGTCACTGATTTAGCGATAACCATTCAGAATTCAGATTCGGTAGCGCGACAAATCGTAAAAAGTAAAGGGTTTACCCTACAGAAATTTTCTACGAGTTTTCAGAAAATGCTTTTGGAGATAAACTGAAATAATGAGATCTTGCAATGGTTCCCCGATTCACTGCTCAGCAATAACGGTAAATTTATTCGAAGTAATTTAGGAATTTGCTTTATTAATTTTTATCAATCCAATTAATTTTATTTTGAAGGTTATCTTATTTTCCAATATCATGTATATCCACAAAATCGTCAACCGTGGAGTTGCTCATATTGAAAGAAATTTTTCTGTGGCGACATCCCGACTTTCCATTTTCGTAACTTATATTCATTAGACCTTTAATAAAAGAGCTGATGAGGTAAAATGAAATTTCAATTTACAATTATTTTACGAGAAATTATAGTAGATCTTCTATGAAGCTCTCACTGCCCCACGCAACGCCGTCATCTGGTAACGCGGGAGACGCGGCAGTGGCAGTTCAAGTTCACCGCGTTTATGAGGCGCTGTTGCTGGACGCTCCGAGTGTGCAGTCGCTGGCTCCATGCGGGGACACGCGACCGATGCTGATTGCTTTCTTTTTCTTTATTTAATAGGAATGTTGTTATCTTAATTAATGGGAGTTAAGTGATATAATTCAACTGTTATTAATTATAACCCGAGTCATTATATACTTAATTAACTGAACTAGTTTATAAGTACAATGAAAATGTTCCAAACAGTGCTTAGGAAATTATGCGTGTGTTACGTTATATATAAATTCATGTTTCAAGTTAGTGACTAAACAAACGACGTCCAACGTAATCAACGCTTTTCTTATAACACTGCTTGTTACCATGATTGTATTATTAATTATCGAATTATCAACGCTTTTCTTATAACACTGCTTGTTACCATGATTGTATTATTGATTATGGAATTCTAGTAGTTTATGGAATTCGTATCTCATTAAAAATATGATTAAATGTATGTCTACTTGTTTAAAAATGAACACATTTTTTCGTGCTCCCAACAAATGCCAGCAGAAAACCCGGAAAAGGTAAGTTAATTGTAGCCGCACATTTATAATCATTTTGGCCGCAATGAAAGCAATATTGAAATTTTGCGTGAATTACATGGGCTGAAACGCCGTCAAAATTCACACGTTGCCATGACACACTACGAGATATAAATGAGTGAAAATTTCTTAAATATTTGTATAAATTTTCACCCAAATTTTTATATCACCGATGGGCTTTTTCAGGCTGAAACCGGGTCACGATGACCTATGGAATGGCAGCAAGGTCTTGGCTAGTGCCATTTATTTATTATATTTATTGCATTTATTTTATATTTATTTATTATAAATATATATATGTTATATTATTTAAATTATATTTATTTGTATTGCCAGGGACGTCGAGCNATAACATGGACATATCAATGATACGTAATTAGATAACATGGACGTATCAATGATACGTAATTAGATAACATGGACGTATCAATGATACGTAATAAGAAAAAGTCCCTGTTTAGACAATATTAGCCATTCATTCTTCTGCGCGTAAAATTCATTTACTAGTTCTTAGTAACTTAATTAATTGCTTCCTGCCTCTTAATTGCGTTAATTGTCTTCCATTACTCATATTTTATTTCTTTAGAATTTAATGAACAATTCAGTTATTGTAATTTTTCATTACATCGACGTATCAATAGCCTTTATTTTTTTTATTGGCAATCACTTTTTAATGATTGCAGTTTTAATTTGCAATTTTTTCATTGCAATCACTTTTCTAATAGTTTGTAATTTGTACACTCAGGAAAAATTTGGCCTTTATGTCCCAATCGCGATACATTTGCTGCTTTAACCTGTGTAGTCAAAAAATGAAACCGTTATTCTTACGTCATTCATTAGGCTCTTGCTGTCATTTATACATGGTAAGTTAAGAAGCGTACGAACATTGTAATATAATATATTATGACTAATAAATTATGTATCTAATCACCTCATAATATATTAATTAATATATTTTAATACAATATATATTATATGTAATCACCTTATAATAAGTTTGTATATTTCATATACATACAACACAGTTGTTATTCATCTATACATTTACCATATACTTATAGTATTATAATACAGTACAATAATTATCAAAAACAAAATTATCAATACAACTTGGCTATAGATGATAATTATATTAAATTACAAAATAAAAAATCAAATTCTGGCATACCTCGTAAAATTATTCAATAAGAAAATAAATCATAGGTATAGTATTAAATGTATAGATGATAATTTTAATATTCAATAAAGAAATAACTCAAATTATAACATACCTCATAGCTCGTGACAACAATAGGGCAGACGTTGCGGGTAACGGAGCTGCCATCAGGCAACGTAACCTTTACAGGCGACGTCTTTTTGAACAACTTCATTTTCTCACACCGTACGCTTTCATTGCCATGGAACAACACATATGGCAGCTGCAATCAATAACTGCCATTAATATTATTTCTCAACTTAATTTCACGAGACATTTGCCATCTTGTAATAAATCCTGCTCTATAAATAAGGTTTAATAAAGGATCCAAATGCTAAAATCTTTACACGTTGGTCTCTCCTGTGAAGCAAATAATCTTTTTCTTTAATCCATTTATTTAATAAATCCTGCTTTATAAATAAGGTTTAATAAAGGATCCAAATGCTCAAATCTTCACACGTTGGTCTCACCTGCGGCGCAAACATCTTTATGTCGTTGCACCAGTTGCACAGGGCGCTGAGGGGAGCGATCACCAAGAAAGGACCCTCCATGCCTTTCTCCACAAGTTGGCACAGCATCGCTATTGTTATTGTTGTTTGCACTGTCTTCCCCAAGCATACTGCCAGTATTGCACTCTCACAATTCAAATAGAGTGCCTGCAGGTGTAAATGCCTTTGGATTATTTCTTATCAAACCAATATAGTATAAAACATGCCCCTGGATCATTCGTTATCAAACCAAATATAACATAAAACATGTCTTTGAATCATTTGTTATCAAAACAATATAGTATAAAACATACCCTTGGAGCATTCATTATCAAACCAATATAATGTAAAACATGCCATTTTGTAATTTTTTATCAAACCAATATAACTGTTATCAGATCAATATAACATAAAACATGCCTTTGGATTATTTGGTATCAGATCTATATAAGATGAAACATGCCTTTGTACCATTTATTATCAAACCTATACAACATAAAACCTGCTTTTGAATCAAACCCTGGACGCGAGGAGACGTCAATGCCGAGTGTTTCTACATGGGGTTGCGAGAAAGATGCACCATTTGTACCAATTTTGAGCAGGTGTATGAGTGTTTTGGACCTCCACTGTTTCCATATTACATAATCTTTCCAAGACATATGTACGGCACTGGATGTCAGCTCGTTTCAGTGATGCACCGGCCGTGTAAATGATCAGGTGTGCGACTTTTAGCTGTGCGACTTTTAGCTGTTGTGTTACTTC